ATTTTTGTATTTTTAGTAGAGATGGGGTTTCATGTTGACCAGGATGGTCTTGATCTCTTGACCCTGTGATCCACCCGCCTCGGCCTCCCAAAGTGCTGGGATTACAGGCTTGAGCCACCACACCCAGCCACAACATCATATTTTTTAAACAGTTAAATCCATAATTTAAAACCATCTCATGGTCCGAGTGCAGTGGCCCATGCCTATAATCTCAGAACTGTGGAAGGCTAAGGAGGGAGGAATTGCTTGAGCCCAGGAGTTCAAGACCAGCAAGGGGAACATAGCAACATCTTGTCTCTAAAATAGTTAAGTAACTAAGTTTAATTAAACCTTCTCATGAAGAAAGCTCTAGGCCCACATGGCTACACAACTGAATTATATTCAAACACTTAAAAAGGAAATAATAGGCTGGGTGCGGTGGCTCATGCCTGTAATCCCAGCACTTTGGGAGGCTGAAGTGGGCAGATCACAAGGTCAGGAGTTCAAGACCAGCCTGACCAGCATGGTGAAACCCCGTCTCTACTTAAAAATACAAAAATTAGCCAGGCGTGGTGGTGTACACCTGTAATCCCAGCTACTTGGGAGGCTGAGGCCAGAGAATTGCTTGAACCGGGGAGGCAGAGGTTGTGGTGAGCCAAGAGCATGCCACTGTACTCCAGCCTGAAGGACAGAGCGAGACTCCATCTCAAAAAATAAAAAAATAAAAATAAAATGGAAATAATATCAATCTTAGAGAAACTCTCAAAAAATAATATCCTGTGCCTGTTGAAATATTTCTATCTTTAAAAATATGTCTTTTCCCATTGACCTAAGTCATAATTAAAATATGCATTCATGTGTTACGTTGGTTGCTATGTCTTTTAATTTTCCTTTAATCCATAATGTCCCCTCTCCTTTTTTGTGAGACAGAGTTTCACTCTGTCACCCAGGTTGGAGTGCAGTAGCATGACCTTGGCTCACTGCAACCTCTGCCTCCCAGTTCAAGCAGTTCTCCTGCCTCAGCCTCCCAAGTAGCTGGAATTACAGGCTCATGGCACCATTCCCAGCTAATGTTTGTGTTGTTAGTGGACATGGGGTTTCACCATGTTGGCCAGGCTGGTCTCAAGCTCCTGACCTCAAGTAATCTGCCCGCCTTGACCTCCCAAAGTGCTGGGATTACAGGTGTGAGCCACTACACCCAGCCTCTCTTTGTAATTTTGGAGTACACAATACATTATTATTAGCTACAGTCATCATTTGTACAATAGATCACCAGAACTTATTTGTGTCTAACTGAAACTTTGTACCCTTTTGTTAACATCTCCCATTCCTCATAGCCAGCCCCAGATAACCACCGTTCTACTCTGTGCTTCTCAGTTTGACTGTTTTTAGAGTCCACAAATAAGATCCTGCAATATTTGTCTTTTTTTTTTTTGAGACAGAGTTTCACTCTTGTTACCCAGGCTGGAGTGCAATGGCACAATCTCGGCTCACTGCAACCTCCGCCTCCTGGGTTCAGGCAATTCTCCTGCCTCAACCTCCTGAGTAGCTGGGATTACAGGCACACGCCACCATGCCCAGCTAATGTTTTGTATTTTTAGTAGAGACGGGGTTTCACCATGTTGACCAGGATGGTCTCGATCTCTTGACATCGTGATCCACCCGCCTCAGCCTCCCAAAGTGCTGGGATTACAGGCTTGAGCCACCGCGCCCGGCAGTATTTGTCTTTCTGTGCCTCGCTTATTTCACGTAGCATAATATTTTCCAAGTTTATTCATGCTGTCACAAATGACAGGATTTCCTTCTTTTAAAGAGCTGAATAGTATTCCATTGTGTGCATGTGCATTTTCTTTATCCATTAATCTGTTAATGGACATTTAGATTTATTTCATATCTTGGCTATTGTAAATAATGCTTCATTGAACATGGGAGTACAGATATGTTTTTCACATACTGTTTTCATTTTCTTTGGATATATACTTAGAAGCAGAATTGCCAAATCATGTGATAGTTCTGTTTTTAATTTTTTGAAGAGGAATCTTCATACCATTTTCCATAATGACTGTATTAATTTACATTCCCACCAGCAATATATGAGTTCCTTTTCTCTGTATCCTCTCCAAACTTGTCTTTCATCTTTTTGACAGTAGTTCTTCTAACAGGTGTGAGGTGGTGTTTAATTAATTTGCATGTCCCTGATGATTAGAAATGTTGAACATTTTTCATATATATGTAGACTGTTTGTGTGTATTCTTTTGCTATGTGTCTACTGAAGTACTATGCCCATTTTGAAATCTGGTTGTTTTCTTGCAATTGAATTGAGTTCCTTATATATTATGGCTGTTAGCCCCTTATCAGATGTATGGTTTGCATATTTTCTTCTACTCCTTTGGTTGTCTCTTCACTTTGTTACTTGTTTCCTGTGCTATGCACCTTTTTAGTTTCCTGCAGTTCAATTTGTCTACCCATCCTTTTGTTGCCTGTGCTTTTGGAGCTATATTTTTAAAATCTTTGTAAATATCAGTGTCAAAAAGCTTTCGCTATGTTTTCTTCTAGTAGTTTACAGTTTCAGGTCTTAAATTTTAGTCTTTAATCGATTTTGAGTTGATTTTCGCATATGGGATGAGATAAGCGTCCAATTTGCTTCTTCTGTATGTGAATATCCAGTTTTCCCAGCATCATTTATGGAAGAGACTGTCCCTTTCCCACTGTATGTTTTTGGTACCTTCATCAAAGATCAATTGACCATAAAAAGGTGGATTTATTTCTGGGCTTTCTATTCTGTTCCATTGGGGATTTTTTTTAAGAGTTGTTAAAACAAATTTAAAACACAAGAAGAACAGAGGAGAATATTTGATAAAGATTGCATGTAGCCCACAAAGCCTGAAGTATTTACTATCCGGCCTTTTACAGAAAGTTTGCCCACCCCTGACCTAAAGACTTGATCCAATTTAAGTTTTATTTGTTTGTTTGTTTATATTTGCAAGAATACTTCACATAGTATTCTAAGTACACTAAGTATGTCCTACTGCATCACATTTGGAGGTATATACTGTAATGTTTCATTGTCACACTTTTAATAATGTTAAGATTAATCAGTGATTTCAGAGGTGTTAGCTGGTACATTGCTTATAAAGCTCTCTATTGTTATTTGTCCTAATGGTTTCAACATCCACTGATGATTGTTGCTTAGATGTTTCATTAAATATTGTAAAATGGTGATTTTCTACTTTCGTCATTCCCTTTGCATTTATTAGTTGGAATTCTTCTATGTAGAATAATAAGATTCAAGAACTATATTAACTATTTGATTACCCTGAAACTCATTTCAGGAAAGATGGGACAAATGCTTGGTTTTTTTTGCTACTATTTACCAATTTTTAGAGTAATAAATTGGTGTCCTAACAGTCTCCAGAAGTGACAATTAAGTGCTTTTTGTAGGTATATAATACTTACTATTTCTTAGAGGTTTATGTATTTAATGTTTCCAAAGATTACATATAATAGTTTCACTGCCCAAGTGTGCCAACTTCAGGGGCCCCTTAAAGTTGTTGCATGTATGTGTGCTCTTTTACAAAGTCCTTATTAGTATTTGATAGCTTCCTTGCTTTTTGGCACAGCAAGCTGTGCCATTTTGTACATTTCCTCCCTCAAATCTGGAATTGATCATTTCTCCAAGGAACCCTAGTTCCATTTGTGGCACCGCTCAGGCTGTTTGCACCTCCACACCACTGAAATACCATGTCACTGTCACCAAAGACTCCACCTTTCTAAATCCAGCAGTCACTCATCAGCTCTTATCTGAGTCATCTGTGGCTTCTGATAAGGTTAATCACTCTTTCCTCCTCCACGTGAATGTGCTTTCTTCACTTTTTTTTCCAAGAAACTATACTCTTGACTTTTCTCCTACCTTAGGCACCTCTCATTGGTCTCTGTTGCTAGTTTTTCCTCATCTTTTTAACCTCTTAATATTGGGTGCCTCACTGCTCAGTCTTGAATCTTTTTCTCACTTTTTATCTACATACACTTTCTTTGATTTGTTTGTTTTTGTTTTGTTTTGTTTTAGAGATGGGGTTTCACTGTGTTGGCCAGGCTAGTCTTGAACTCCTGACCTCAGGTGATCCACCCACCTCGACCTCCCAAAGAGCTGGGATTACAGGCGTGAGCTGCCAGGCCTGGCCATACACTTTCTTTGAGATGTCATCAGTTTTATGACTTTGAATACCATCAGCATGCCTATTATTCCTAAACTTACCTCTAATCTAAACAAATCCCCTGAATTCCAGACATTTACATTCAACTGCCTCCTAAACTTCTCCACTTAGATAACCAAAGGCATCTCAGACTTAACAGGTCTAAAAACAAGCTCCTAATCTTGCCAACATCTACTTCAACAAAAACTTGCTTCTTCATCTTGCAAATGATCATCTCATTGTTCCTTCACATCTTCGTATCATTTTTTATATCTCTCCCACACCCCACATCCAAATACTTGAGGAGATCCTGTTGGTTCTGCTTCAAATTATATCCAAAATCATAGCACTTTTTTTAGATAGAGTTTGGCTTTTTAATTGCCCAGGCTGGAGTGCAGTGGTACGATCTTGGTTTACTACAACCTCTACCTCCCAGGTTCAAGTGATTCTCCTGCCTCAGCCTCTGGAGTAGCTTGGATTCAGTCATGCGCCACCATGCCTGGCTAATTTTGTTTTTTGTTGTTGTTGTAGTTGTTTTTTAGTAGAGAAGGGGTTTCACCATGTTGACCAGGCTGGGCTCAAACTCCTGACCTCAGGTGATCCACTCACCTTGGCCTCTCAAAGTGTTAGGATTACAGGCATGAGCCACTGTGCGTGGCCTTTTTTCTTTTTGAGACAGAGTCTCGCTCTGTCACGAGGCTGGAGTGCAGCGGCATGATCTAGGCTCATGGCAACCATTTGAGCACTTCTTAAGACCCCCAGTGCTACAATCTGTGCAAACCACTATCATTTCTCTCTGGATTGTCGTGGTAACCGAACTGCTCTCTCTGCTTCTGCCTTGCCACTTCCCTTTGATCTTTTTTAATACAGCAGCCATTGTGTTTTTATTAAAATATAAGTCAAATTGTGTTGCTGCCTCTGCTAACACCTTCAAGTGGCTCCCTGTCTTGCTCAAAGTAAAAGCCAGAGACCATCACATGACTTACAAGTCTCTGTCATCTGGCTTCTGATTATCTCTCTGACATTTACTTTCAACCCCTCATTCTGCCCATGTTACTCCAGTCATAGGCCTCTTTATTGCTATTCTTCAAGACTACAAATCATGCTCCTTCGTAGGGGGTTTTGACTTGCTTTTCCCTCTGCTAAAATGCTCTTCTTTCAAATGTCTTCATAGCAACTCCTTATCTCTTCAGACATCATTTTCTCAGCCAGAGTCTCTCTATCACTCTATTTAAAATTGTAATTCTCCCCAACACTCCCTATTCCTTCTCCCTGCTTTCATTCTTCTCAACAGAACTGAAAACAATCTAACACACAATACGGTTGACTAATTTACGTGTTTGTCATCTGCCTCTACTACTATAAGTTATTTTCTATGAGGCCAGGGATTTTCATCTTATTTGTTTATTGCTATATTCCTAGCACCTACAAGAGTGTGTGACACATAATATTTTTTTTCTTTCTTACGTCAACTCCAGAAATAAATATTTTTTAAAATAAGTGGATCGATAGAGTTGTTGAGAGGATTAGATGAAACAATACATCCAAAGCCCTTAGCATAATGAACGGTAACTGTTGGTATTATCATTATTATTATGAACTGCTTTATTTCCTCTGTATGAATCCATTTACTAATCTAAGTCAACAGTGACTTTACAGAGGAGGGAAAGGGAATCAGCATAGTTAGGGACTATATGACTGATTTCTTCTGGGCTGTATGCATGTACACCTCCGTGGCCTATGTCAACGTGAGATTAGTAATAGGCTATTGATTTTTCCTTATAAGGCTGTTTGGAAAAATCTTTTCAAAATCTTCTTCATTACAAAGTCTCTTTTGTCTAAGTTCTTAATAAACATAAAATTCTTAATAAACATAAAATTCAAAATCATCATTACAAAGTCTCTTTTATCTAAATTCTTAATAAACATAAAATTCAGCCACAAGAGGAGCTCTCTCTCCTTCATAGCCATTACTTAAGAGAGAGGTCTTGTACCAATTCAGGTCTCAAAGGGGACATACCTCATAAAAATATCTCCCCTTGCAATTTATATATGTTACCATCAGGTGTCAGGAATGCTTAATAAGCGCCCAAGAAAGTCAAATAATTCACTTCTGCAGATTTAAAATTATGAATGGTGGCACTATTTTATAGCAAAACATCAGAACACCTTTCTTAGAACAGTTAAACTACTGCCAAATAGTCATTTTATTGTTTTTTTTATTTTAGTTTAGTGAAAGTTACCATTTGCTGTAATGAAGTCATATGATTTGTCAGATCTAGGCATATGAAATTATCAGTGAACAACAACAATAACAACAAATTCTACACCTTTATGGCATTCACATAGTGGGCAAGAGAAAAGATTCTAAAACCACACTATGTGAGTTTAAATTCTAGTGTTTGCTATTTATCAGCTAAGCAACACTGGACGACTTACTTAAACTCTTGTCTCTCAGCTGCCTTATCTATAAAATAAGGATGATAAAAGTACATACCCTTGGCCAGACGTGGTGGCTCACACTTGTAATCCTAGCACTTTGGGAGGCAGAGGCGGGTGGATCACCTGAGGTCGGGAGTTCAAGACCTGCCTGACCAACATGGAGAAACTCCATCTCTACTAAAAATACAAAATTAGCTGGGCATGGTGGTGCATGCCTGTAATCCCAGCTACTCGGGAGGCTGAGGCAGGAGAATCACTTGAACCCAGGAGGCGGAGGTTGCAGCGAGCTGAGATCACACCATTGCACTCCAGCCTGGGTAACAAGAATGAAACTCTGTCTCAAAAAGGAAAAAAAAGTACATACCCTTTTGTATTAATAATGAAATAAACATAGCTTATTGAATGTATAATAGATTATCTCATTTGCTAGTTCTGGCAGCTCTGTGAGGCAAATATTATCTCTGTTTCACAGCAGTAACTCATCCCTTACCTATGAGAGCAAAAGTCCTTGCCTATAGTGACCTGGGTAGTACATGGTGGAGCCAGGATTGTTTTACCCTGCTCACTGCATAACCAACATAATTATTATTTTTTTAAAGATGGGGTTTCACTATGATGGCCAGGCTGGTCTTGAACTCCTGACCTCAGGTGATCCGCCCACCTCAGCCTCCCAAAGTGCTAGGATTACAGGCATGAGCCACAACATAATTTTTTT